GTATGTGTCAGTAGGATCAAGTTCTTTCTTTTTCTATTATTATTTTATTATCTCTTTTTTTTCTCTTTTTTTTGACCATGGAGTGAGATATAGACAAGAGTGCTTTGGAGGTCATGGCAAAGTATCTTGTGTTGGTCTCAAGGTTATGTGGTTGGTTTTTAAGCAAATGCAGAGCCTGGGGTTAAAATAACAGTTAGAAAAAAAAAAAAATATTTTTTTCCTCATTTTTGTGGATATGGGTTAGTCATTGTACTAAGCTCACATACAGTAGAGAACTTGCAAGAATATGTTTTATTCTCAAATGTTTCTTTCGAAGGAATGAGTTTTCTCTGAATATAGTTATGTCTTGTTGGAATTATTGTAGTATTATTGAAAAGAGCTTTTGAGAAATTATTTAGAAGATTATAAAATACAAGTAGACATGTATTCATTTATATCACAATCAGAATATTATAGAGCATAATACATCTAATATTCAGGTATATTGAACTTTCATACTTAAGTCCCAGTATAAATGAAGCAGGAAAATAACAGCCAAATGAGTGGCCAACACAAGATAACTTAAAATAACCTAGCCCAATATGCACGTAATTACTGCTCCTTATGAATGCTCATTCGGTTCTTTAACCAAATTAATCCCTTGGTATATTAATACAATATATAATGACAAAAACTCAAGCTTATGACAGTGGATGATTCATTTTAGATTGATGTATATATTTGTTTTTCCTTAACCTTATAGTTTCAACAGCTAATTGATGGCCTAATGTGGAACTTTTTTCCTATAGTATATTTTTAAACTTTATTGCATTTTTCTCTTGTCATAAACCTAAGAGCCATACAGTCTTCTTTGTTCTTGATCATATTTCCTAAGGCTGTTATCATAATCCAGTCTTGTTCCTTAGTGAGTTAGTTGTCCTTTTTTATTTTACAATGATCCTTATCCATGACTTTTATATATATATATATATATATATATATATATATATATATATATATATATATATTTATTTATTTATTTATATATATAGCACACACACACACACACACACACACACACACACACACACACACACACACACACACACACACACACACACACACACACACATATATATATATATATATATATATATATATATATATATATATTATATATATATATATACATATATATATATATATATATATATATTATATATATATATATATATATATATATATATATATATATATATATATATATTGTATATATATATATATATATATATATATATATATATATATATATATATATATATATATATATATATATATTATATATATATATATATATATATATATTATATATATATATATATATATATATATGTATATATATGTATATATATATATATATATATATATATATATATATATATATATATATATATATATATATATATATATATATGATTATATATTTTTTTCTTTTCTTTTTTTAACAACAAACAAGTTTTGTCCCTTAATTGTCATTAGTAAATATATATTTGACAGATTCTTTCCAATTTGGTGAATCATAAAATCTTTTGATTTTTTTTTCTCTCTTTTCTTTTTTTTCTTTTCTTGTTTTAAACCAGAAACACATTGTTATTTACAAAAATAACAGTAGTTGAAGGTTGTCATTGTCCCAGAGTTGTGAGTCATTTAATGTCATACAGCTTTCTGAACCGGATGTTAGCTTTTATAAAGATGTAGCTTTCAAGTTGCAGTGCTTGGTAGGATTAATTCTTGCATCTTATAGGATTTACAAAGTACCTGTCAGCCAGGACTTTCTGAGTTCACTTATCTGGTAGTCTCCAGTTTCTCTATGAGCATAATGCAATATTTTGAGCCATAATGAATCAGTCTTTTTTCTGAAGATTATGATGATTACATATTTATATGTTTGTGTATTTGTATCTGTATATTATAAACTTTACTGTCGGTCATAACTTGCAAACAACCCATACAGCACATTTTGATTTACATCTGATCCCACACACAATTCATTGATAGTTATAACCAATCTCACACACACACACACACACTCTCACATACACACACACACACATATTCATAAGTGGAGTTTTACACAGCTTAGGCAAGCATGCCTCATATGATTGAAGATGGCTCAAAATATGTATCTGTTAAATAATTAGCATGTAACAGATTAATTTTTATTTTCAATAATCTTAGTATATGAATCTAGGAAATAACTCAATAACAGTGATTAAATTTATGAAGTAATTTTCTAAGCATGTAAAGTAATGGCCATCTTTATATGTTAGAGAGTGGCACACTACCCAGGACACTAAGTTTGTTATCCAGAAAATAAGATTTCTGATGAATACTTGATATTTCGTCCCTCACTGACTTCAGGATGCTAACTGATTGTGTGTGTGTATATAAGTGTGTGTGCACACACACACACACACACACACACACACACACACACACACACACACACACACACACACAC